CATATTATGATTCGAGAAATAACTTTATCTTCTAATTCCAAAATAAAATGGTCAAAGCAAGGGTCATATTATGATTCGAGAAATAACTTTATCTTCTAATTTCAACTAAATGGTCAAAGTAAGAATTCCGAATAAATGGTCAAAGCAAGGGTCATATTATGATTCGAGAAATAACTTTATCTTCTAAATTCAACTAAATGGTCAAAATAAGAGTCATATCATGATTCGACAAATAAATTTGTCGTATAATTCCAACTAAATGGCCAAAGCAAAAAGATCTAGTTATGGGCAATTTTGAAGTTTTATTTGTTATTTTGTCTTTAGGATCAATCGAAACCATACGACTCGAAGAAAAATGTATGGATTCCGGATGCGGAAGATGGTTATATTGCTGCGGAAATTAAAGCTAGCAAGGGTGATTCAGTTACTGTAGTTTCTGTTCGTGGAAATGAGGTTTCTTTCATTATGCAACTTCTGTAAATTTTACAAATCTAGTGCAAAAAAAAAAAAAATAAAATTGAATTAAAAAACGTTTTTTCCAAATTGAATGAAAATGATTGATTAATTTAATTTGAATTTATGATATTCTGCATGAATGAAGGATTTGATTACGAATTTACGGTATTCAAATCAATAAAAAGTTTGATTTTTTATTTATAATATTCCAATTAATTAAATAATTTTCAAGTCCTTTTTATCTTATTTCTTTTTAATAATAACTTTATGATTAAAATTTTTGCAATTTTTTTGAAACAAATAAAAGGTAAATTTTACTAAATATTCATAATTTTTTTAAAGTAATTGAAATTAAACTTAATGAAATTTTAATTGTTTTTTTTTGAAAATTTAAATTTATAGGAGAAAATAATTTTTGAATAAATTATAAACCAAAATGTTGTATACGATGAAAATAAGATTTACATTTGGAATAAAAGAAAAAAAAGAGTGATTTTCGAAAAATATAAATTGGCTTATTGATTATCATTTTATATAAAAAATATATTAATTATTTATTTTCAATTGTTCATTTATTAATTGCCATTTCGTATTAAAATATATCAATTATTTAACTTCATTTTCAATTGTTTATTTATTAATTACCATTTCGTATTAAAATATATCAATTATTTGCATTTTTTTTTTTTACTTTTTACTAGGAACGT